AGTAGAGACAGAGACATATCCCAACAGACTAAAGGCTGTAATTAAAGCAAAAGCTGGTTCAACAAAATAATGACACAAGGGGGTGATTCTTTTTCCAAATCAGCGATTCTGGTTTTTTATTTATTTAAACATTTTTCTGACATGTTCTTTCACTTGGATGTTATAAGTTGCACTGAGTAAATACAGCTGGATAAAACAAAAACTGTGTCCGTCTTCATTTCAGGCTGCAAAGCAACAAAATGTGATTATTTTAAAGGGGGTGATCCTTTTCTATACCTACTGTACATAATTTGTTCACTTAGAAATCAAAACTCAGTGTTTTGAGAAATAAATTATTTTTACCCCCTTGCATTTTTGTGCAATTCTGTACATTTCTGTGTCATCCATTTACAGTGTATATATATATATATATATATGATTATATACTATGTGTGTGTGTACACACACACACACACACACACACACATATATATACACACACATACAAGCTAAGTCAGAAAGTCAACTTTATTTCTAAAGCGCTTAATTCAATATAGATTTTTTTTCACAGCAGCTTTATATATATATATGATTATATACTATGTGTGTGTGTACACACACACACACACACACATATATATACACACACATACAAGCTAAGTCAGAAAGTCAACTTTATTTCTAAAGCGCTTAATTCAATATAGATTTTTTTTCACAGCAGCTTCACAATATTATCAAATTCAAATTCTGCTGTAACGCAGCTCTAACAAGTCAATGGTGTCATTATACAGCTCAGGTCAGTTCAGTATTGATTCAGTTCAGTTACATAACTGTGTAAAATTCATCAGTTGTACTGTACATACATACTACATACAGTGTATATGTGTATGCATGTATGTGCGAGTGCTATGACAAACTCCTGTGCACTCCACTCTGATCACCCAAAAGACACACGAGAGTAACTTTAGTGTTTTACATTTTTCACATCTGTGTGTAGTTTGGCGTGTATGTGGCTAATTATTTTATGTTTTTGTGTGTAGAGTTCCTACGCAAAAATACAATTTTTAGAATAGTTAAAATAGTTTTGAAAGAAGTGTTTGCTTTTGCAAGAAATGTGTGACGTTTTGCATGTTGTGTGTGTGTTTTGTGTGTAGAGTTTTGAGAAATATAGCCATAGTTTCAAAAACTGTGTAAGCATTTTTTAAAAACCTTAATATGAGACACACATGTGCTGTCAATGGCTGTCAACACGATCTACAAGCGTCATGCATTAGAACTGAAGCTAATAAACACAAATAAAACACAACTTACACTTTACGAAGTACAAACTCTTAGATGAAGTAGGCTACTAGATGATGAAGAGCAATGAATATTTCACTGAGCGATGTGCTGGTGTGTATGTAATCACGGTCCGAGCTGCGCTTAGACTTGAAGTTACAGTTCCTAGTTAAAAATGTGAATGTGTTTAAACCTGCTGCTTAACATTTCAAGCTGTATTTAATAACTTAATATACAAAAATAAATAAAAGAAAGCATAAAGCCAAATATGGTGACAATTATTAAAAAATATATGCCCCTGATCTATATAGACTAGAACACCTGTTAGCAAACATTTCACGTACTAAACACTTTATGTACACAAAGAACCCGCAGTATTTTCTGTAATATATAGAAAATATAATTTCTAAAAAATAATAATAATAATAATACTTTTTTTTTACTTAACACATTAAAAAAAATAACAAAAGCACATAACAAAATCACTAAAACGTAAACTAAAACAATTTAAAATAGATCGTATAACATAAAAACTAACTCAAAATATTAAGAAATCATTAATAAATGCTGTAACGTTATATAAAATATACTAAAATAGTATTGTTGGAGCGCAATTCATGACCGACAGGGGTCGCAGCTGTCATATTTCACAACTCTCTTGACTAGATTTCATTTCATTCAACAAATTGAACAAGTGCGAAAAGCAGCTTATTTACCACATACCACAATAACAACATAAACATAATGTTAGCAATCATATTTTATCAAACATATGTCGATAAAAGATATCCAGGCTTGTTTTTTTCGCATCTTAACGTAAACCGGTATTTTTGTTTAGATCTGTCGTCACCCATTTAAACCCATTTGTTTAAGTAAACCCACCCTTAATCTTCGTAACATCGTTTAGTCTCTCTCTCTCTCTCTCTCTCTCTCTCTCGTTTAAATCCACTCTGTTTGGGTTGAAGTTAAAATGCGGAAGTTTCCGCCCAGCAAAGCCGCTGATACCGCGAAGATGAGGCTCGCGATGCCATCAACGATCATCCCCGCTCCGTGCTGCTCTCCGCGGCTCTGCGTGGACTGAGATCAGACTCGCATGGCTATGGCTTCTCTGCCAGCGTCAGAGCGGAGAGCATTCGCTCTCAAAATCAACAGGTAATGTTCATTTCCTTTGGCTGGACCTTATAGCTCGTGCACTGACAGATCCCAGGGAAGCTGAGCTGACTTTTGGAGCCGTCCGTCTTAAATCTCTACAGGGAGTTTGGGTGAATCCCGGAGCAGGCAGCTACACGTTTGGGATACGCTACAAGTCTGGCACCATGAGACTTGATAGTCTTCTTATCAGTTATGGCTGTGTGATACAGATAAGTTCATGAGCTACAGCACCGATGCTGTATTTATCAGCATATTATTTTTCTTCCCAGTATGGGAATCTCATTTTCAAATAAGTTTTTAACTGCAGTATAGTAACCAGTTACACAGCATGCAGATGGTCTACACATTCAGATACATCTGTGCTGTGAAAGTTATTGAGGTCCAGAAGCTTTCCGCACGTATCCCTTCAGGCAAAAAGAAAGGAAGAATGATTGAAAAAATATGGCAAAGCATTTCAGAGCAATTTTCATTCATTTCCGTGTAATTCTAAATATGGATCTCCTGTCTATTTGATCATTTCCTCCACAAGCCCCTTTTTCTCCTCGGGTTATGACGGATCATGACTGGCCCCTGCTATGTGTAAAGTTAAGGTGGAAGTTTGTATTGTTCCTGTTTTATTGCACAACAGGTGGGGAGGAAATGAATATATGGACATAGTGGAAGAAGGGAGTCCGGTAATAAAACAAAGGGAACAGTGCTCATATACAGGGTAATGATGTGAGTTTATGTCTTGTGAGTTTATGTCACACATGCACACAAAGGTTCATTCATAACTTAACTGTCATATGCTACACTCTTTTTCCAGCAGATTGTGGGAATCATGCCATTTTTAATTCAAAAAGTGTCTTTGTGAATTAATAAGCTGTTTAATTTTGCTTACAGTCACATGTGTTTAACCACTTGTTTATCTGAGGAACTCTGAGATTTTGTGTTTTCTCAGTTGTAAGCACAGGCCCATGGTGGTTGCTTTAGGCTTGTAATGAAGATGCTGCAGGTTTGATACACACCAAGATGACATGTTGCAATGTTGCGCTGAATCCCAAGCTGCTGTCTGTGTACTCATGTTTTGGATATGAGTACAAATAATCAACCTTTAGTAGCTGTACATCACCCCTCTGCCAAATCTGAAAAACATTATTTTACACGTTCAGTATATTGTTATGGTGCTTGAACAGCATCAGTATTTGATATCTTCGCTTGTACTTTCGTTGCTTCAGTTCTGATTCTAAAAAGATGAACAGATATGTAATGTAGTTTTCTGAAAAGTTTGTAATTTATCGGTAGGCTATATTTAATTGTGCATTTTCCCTTTTTTTTGCATTTAGATTACCTTTGCCATCATCTAACACTCACTTCAAATTCATCTTTAAAAACGCTAATAATCAAATAATAATGTTAAATGTTATCTTTAGCAACTATCAAAATGAATAATCATTTTTCATACTGTCGTACATTATAATACTGTAATATATAAATTCACAGCACTTGATTGATTCAAATCGTTTTTAGTGTTTTTTTCTGTTCAAGTTTGACAAAATATCGTAGAAATGTAATATTAACAATTTTTTATCTATTGGGTGTAAAATAATAATACATAATAAACGCCCAATCTCACAGGAAAATGTAACTATTTTACGAGGTGACGATTTAGTATGATTCATGTCATAAAAAAAGTAGTAGTCCACCCTTAAACCCATCCCTAAACATAACCATCACATAGGCACAAACAGATTGTACGAAAACCTATGAATGAGATCAGAAGTATGAATTAGTCACCTATTCGCCATAGCATAAAATAGTTACGAATTGCCATGCAATTGTGTCGGTCCATCTCTATTTTATAGCATGCTCTAGGTTTATATCGTTGTCACAGCAGTATTTGGTAACATTAAGCAATTAACAATCACTGATTCACTTCCTCTTTGTAAGGACACAATAGGAAATTCAGAAGGACTCTGTGATGGTAAAGAGAGATTATAAAACAAAGTCAAGCAGTAAGAAGCCCAGAGCTCGTCGGCAAACAGAATGATTCCCAGATTTTTATGCAAGTGCAGTCTGACCAGCGCATCTCACTGGGGGCTGATACTTGCTGTAGCTGCAGCTGCTGTATTGCACAAACTGAACTCATGCTGTCTCGTGCAGACAGCTTTGGATAGGGGGAAAACGTCAGCACATATGCTGCAGATTTCTTCTGGCTCATGCTCCACCCTCCATGTCCCTTCTCATTTTCAGTGACCACACATTTATTTGCATGAATGATGCATTCACACATGAAAAGTCCTCTGAGCACAGCTGTGTTTTGTACTGAAGAAGGGTGTTTTTTTTTTTATTTGTTTATTCCATCTTCTCTTTCATAATCCTTTGATTTTCCAGGCACATGGAGGAATATTTCTGTATGAGAAGTGACACTTAATGTTTTGGAAC